GCTATAATAACAGAAGTCTAAATGGAGTTTCTCTTTTCCCACTTTATCTTTGTGTGAACCAGGTAGTGGCTTCTCTGAAATGGTTTCTCAACCAAGATTCTTGGAATGGTCTCAAGCTCCCTTGTCTGATTTCTTTTACCTTGGTCTGACTTTTCTTCCTGTTCTTCAAGGCCTATTCCTTCTGCATTAGGTGACCAAACTATCTGAAAATATGCTTATATTATACTAGTCTTTCATTTTTGTATTAAATTCATATTCAGATCATTTTTTTCGTATTTCATCCTGATTTCATTCCACATACTTTCCTTAAATAACTGATATCCAAGTCATTCAACTGACTTTTAAACTATTTCCTGACACATCAAGCTCCAAAAGTGTCTGCAGCTGATATAATTGGTGCCCAGTACAGTATATAGCTGATGAATTAAAAGATGAATACACCAAGAAATTTTCAACAGAAGGAAAGAAAAAGATTTTTCTTTGAGCTCATCACCAACATTTGCATTGTTTTATTATTGAAATAAATCATCTTACACAGGGGTGCTATTCAGCAGGTTCTGATAGGTTCTGGAGAACCGGTTCTGGAAATTTTAAGTAGTTCAGAGAACTACTTAAGAAGAGGTGGCAAATACCACCTCTTGAACATTGGGCGCTATCTAACAAAATGAAATTCAATGGCGAAAAAAGTAAGGTTCTACATTTAGGCAAGAAAAACAAAATGCACAGGTACAGTATATGTGGTACCTTGCTCAATAGTAGAAACTGTGAGAGGGATCTTGGAGTCCTAATGGACAATCATTTAAATATAACCCAGTAGTATGCTCCAGCTGCCAAAAAAGCCAACACAGTTCTAGGCTGCATAAACAGAGGTATAGAATCAAGATCCCGTGAAGTATTAATACCACTTTATAATGCCTTGGTAAGACCACACTGTATTCAGTTTTGGTCACCATGATGTAAAAAAGATGTTAAGATTCTAGAAAGAGTGCAGAGAAGACCAACAAATATGATTAGGGGCAGTGGTGGGATTCAGCCAGTACATACCACTTTGGGAGAACCAGTTAACTTTCTGAGCAGTTTGGTGAATGGTTTTTTGGAAGAAATCATTAGGGCAGAGAACCGGTTGTTAAATTATTTGAATCCCACCAATAATTAGGGGACTGGAGGCTAAAACATATGAAGAATAGTTGCATGAACTGGGTATGTCTAGTTTAATGAAAAGAAGGACTAGTGGAGACACGATAGCAGTGTACCAATATCTCAGGGGCTGCCACAAAGAAGAGGGAGTCAAGCTACTCCCCAAAGCACCTGAGAGTAGGACATGAAGCAACGGGTGGAAACTAATCAAGGAGAGAAACAATTTAGAACTAAGGAGAAATTTCCTGACAGCTATAACAATTAAGCAGTGGAACAACTTGCCTCCAGAAGTTGTGAGTGTTCCAACACTGGAAGTTTTTAAGATGTTGGATAACCATTTGTCTGAATTGGTGTAGAATTTGCTGCCTAAGCAGGGGATTAGACTAGAAGTCCTCCAATGTCCATTACAACTCTGTTATTCTATTCTATTCTATTCTATATGATTCTATATTACAATATTCTAAATTGTAAAGAACAATTAATAGGGAGGGAGGGAGGGAGAAGGATGGATGGAAGGAAGGTTCTTTCCCCCAAATATCTAAGATCATGTTAGTTTACAATATGTCAGACATCTACTTTTTTAAAAAAAATATTAGTATATTCTATATTTCTAGGCAAATTTTAGTGGGTTCAGGTTAAGACAGTAGGGGCGGGGGGGGGGCGAACCAACCTCAACCAAGAATGGAGCCCCTCTGGGCACGAAGACAATTTGGGAGGAGAAGGTGGCTGAGGAGGGAGAAGTGTAGGTGCAAGCGAAGGCGCAAGGAGGGGGGGCTGCATGAGAAACAGCCCTTCTCCCATTATTTCAGCAACAGGAGTGTGTGTCTTCTCAACATGCCCAGAGTTTTCTTCTTCCCCTTTAGCCACTGAGAGTTCCAGGCAGGACCTCCCAGGGCCTGCCTGGAAGCAGCTCCAGAAGTTCTGATGGCTGCTTTCACAACTTGTGCGTGGACTGGAAATCCCCAATCCCTACAGTAGCAGCCTTTTCCTTAACCTTCCAAGATTTCTGCCCCCATGGTTGCTGTGTGGCATAGGGTGAAGGTAGTCCATACAGACCACCTGCAGGCTTTGGGTGTTCTGAGTGGGCTTGCATCTTCAAGGAACTGGTGGCTTGCTGGGCGCTACACAGAAGGTGTAAGGCAAGGCACTGCCTCCAAAAAACACTGTTGCCACGATCTCTGTTGCTTGTAAATGCCCAAAAATGCAATGCTCTTTTTTTGTCTCTGCACATTCTGTTTTTGGAATCAGGGAGTCAGCAGAGATTTCCAGGCAGCGGAAATCATGTCAACAGTATTTTCAGCTGGCAGAGCCTTGCCTTATGTCCCCTGCACAGCATCCACTTCACCAACCAAGTCCCAATCTCTGCACTTCCCTGGGCTGCTTCTGGAATCAGGCTCCGACTGAGTCAGCAAAGGTGCAGGTTTATGAGATGGCAGTGTCCAGGAGGACTGAAGTGCTGCGTCTCTATGCAGCCTTGCTTCAAGAAACCCAGGCTTTCAATGCCTATGGCTATAGGTAGGAAGATGGGAGCATCTTGAGAGTGGAGACTTTGGTGCCAAGTCCCCATGAAAACCATCCCCTACCCCACCACACCCACTCCAGTTAAATTTGGGTAGGGTGATAAGATTTGTTTTAAATGGATAAAAAGATCTATGCTGTTGTTATCAAAATCTGAGTGGAAGTGAGGATCCTTGCCACCTGGAACCTTCAGAAAATGAGACACGTGGAGGCCGACAACCTCCGAAGGGTGGGGGCCAGTGGGTGCGCGGGGCTACATTTGGTGTATAAGATGCACCCAGATTTTCATCTTCTTTTTTGGGGGGGAAAGATGCATCTTCTACTCCAAAAAAAATAAGGTATACAAAGGTGTTAACCTGTTCAATTGGTTCACTATCTAATTGTCATACATGTCTCTGATGATGTTTTCCAAAAACCATGATTTTTTATTTAGATTTAATAATGGTTAGTCTGGCAACAAGGGCTAAATCTTCTTAATAGCCTACGTAATCCTACTTGTGAAACTGATAATAAAATTTTGTAGAATCTCTCTCTCTCTGTCTCCCTTTTATATATACACATCACACAAACACAAAAAGAGAGACAGAGAGAGATAGACAAACATATCTTTGCACACTCAAACAGGCATCATTTGATGCTTTGACTTCTAGTATCAACTTATCCAGGAATACTGGATGTAGACTTAGTTACAGGAAAGCCACTCCCCTCTGTATAGTAGTTTCAAAGCAGTCCCTCATACCAACTTTGTCAATGCAAAACTCCTTAGACAATTGCAAAGATTTAAGATTAGAATTACTTGTTTTGCTTCAAAATACTGAAGACATCACAAATGATTATTTTGGAAAGTAGAAGCAGACCCTCCTTTTATTCATCTTCCCTCCTATTATCCAGATATTAATCTTTTTTTCCAAACCACAAGTTTGAAAAGTGATTGCCATGATACTAGAAAAAGTAGTATTACCATTTCCCCCCCAAATCTTCCATTTTGAAATATTCCAAGATTATCTTTCCCTCTGTGGATAGCAGCTTTGCATGTGTGTATTGCACAATGAATTACCTCTTAAATAGATTGGCCGCTGAAATAATATTTTCTTTTAGATCATCCTGCCTCCAAAAAAGAATCTGAAATTACCGTATTTTCTGGTGTATAAGACGACTGGGCGTATAAGACGACCCCAGAATTTTCCTGTTAAAATATAGGGTTTGGGCTATACTCGCCATATAAGACTACCCCTCTTCCAACGCACACCAAATAAAAATTAAAAAACATCAACTGGCTCACCCACAATGTAAAAGCAGCTGTGCTAGACCCAAAATGGCTCCTGAAACAAGCAGGAACCTCACACAGCCACAACCCCCCCCCCAAAAAAAACAACTTTCACACTTTACACACACACAACACAACACAACACAACTGGCTCACCCACAATGTAAAAGCAGCTGTGCTAGACCCAAAATGGCCCCTGAAACAAGCAGGATCCTCACACAGCCACAAAAAGCCCAAAAACCCAACTTTCACACTTCACAAACACAAAATTCCACATACAGCTTTGTGAGATTTTGAGTGTTTGTGTAGTTAGAGTGAAACACTACAAAAACATACTAAATCTCAGAAAGCTGCACAAATATTATTTTATTTTATTTTTATTTTTATATGAAAGCTAAATTTAAAACTTCCTAAACTTTAAATGGCTAGGTCTAAAAAAGAACAACTAAAAAAAAAACCCAATTAACTATTTTTTTTTAAAGATCCCAAAGGGGAAAAAAACTTACCCAATAGAACAGGGGTCTCCAACCTTGGCAACTTTAAGACTTGTAGACTTCAACTCCCAGTATTCCTCAGCCAGCTTTGTTTTGCTGGCTGAGGAATTCTGGGGGTTGAAGTCCACAACTCCCTGCCTGCTTGATTGCAGACAGGGAGTTGCTTGCTGATGGAATGGATTCAGGCAAGCGAAGCAAGACAAGCGAAGCAAGGCAAGCAGCTAAGGTAAGCAAGCTGGAGGGGGAAAACTTTTTCCCTTCTCCATGACTCTGGCGATCCCAACTGAGTTGCCTGATTAGCAGATCGTCAGGGCTTGGATCGTCAGAGCCATTTAAGGCTCGTCGGAGCCTTTTGGGCTGGTCTGCCTGGTTACAGGAGAACAACACCCGGCGTATAAGATGACCCCCGACTTTTGAGAAGATTTTCATGTGTTAAAAAGTTGTCTTATATGCCGGAAAATACGGTATATATTTTTCTTCTTATATTCCTTTGAAATCTACTAGTTTAGTTTAAAAAAAGAGAGAGAGGATTTTCCGTGAGCCTGGGGAACCTACAGCTCAAAGCCGCTGCTGGCCACAGCACCATGTACCCCGGGAACAAGCGGAAAAAGCTCTGGCAGGAGGAGAAAGAATGTTTGTTGAAAATGACGTTCGAAGAGAGACATAAAGAATATTTATGGGATTACGTACCCTTGAAAGATATTCCAACATGGAAGGAAGAAATGAAAAACAAAGCCCAAAGTGATAAAGACAACACCAATGAAGCTTTCTTGCTGCAGAAAAGCCTTAGTGAAAAAGTCTCCCTATATAAAGGTGATATCACAGTGCTTGAGATTGATGCCATAGTTAATGCTGCTAATTCAAGTCTTCTTGGAGGAGGTGGTGTGGATGGATGTATACATAGAGCTGCTGGTCCTTGTCTAGTTGCTGAATGTCGCAGTCTGAGCAGCAGTGAAACTGGACAAGCCAAAATCACTTGTGGTTATGACCTACCAGCAAAATTGAAAACAGATTGCATTAGGCCCTGCCACAATATGACCACAGGGTTTAGATCTGGATTTGTACTTGATGATTCCAGAACATTGAATTTATATTTCTTCATCCATGCTCTTCTGGACCTGCTTCTCTATTTTAGTTTGTGTATTGCAGGTTGACACACTTGCAAACAAAAGATCTGTTGTTTACTAAGCAACAATTTCAAATGATAGGTATCTGTCCTGATATTCTCCTATAGAATTCTATGGTACAAAGCAAAACTCAGGCTTCTTCTAATATGGATTAGTTGCTTAGGCCTGAGTCAGCAAAGCATCCTAAATCATGACACTATTACCTCATTGATTACTATTTGGTTTAGTTCTATTGTGGAATACAATATTTGGTTTCCATAGGATATAACAATGGGATATAGCCTAAAAATTTCAACTTTTGACACTGGGCTATAGAACTTTCCTGAGTGAAGTGTGAAGTGCCACCCACTGCCCCATGTCTATTAGACATATCCGAGACCAGGAAATTTCTCTTCTTACTGAGAAATGATTCCACTTTGCTGTTTTTCTAGGAATCCCATTTATATCCAGTGCTGTTGTGATGTTTTTATTACGATTTTAAATGTATTGTGAGCCTCCCTGAGTCTTCAGAGAGGGGCGGCATATAAATTGAATTAAATTAAAATTGAAATTGAATTGAAATTCCTAAGAGGAGCTTTTTCTTGGGACAGCAGGATGCATGTTTTGTGTGCTTTTTGAATCTAACACATCTGAAGTGAAGAGCAGTTTAAAAGAAAACCCTGAGATTGTATTTAATCTGGCTTGTTCACTACAACATTCCAGTTGGAATGGCTTTTAGTAATATGAGGAACTAAATCATGATTTGACATCTTTTTATTTATTAAAGTCTGAAGGTTTTATTTGTTTATGCATACTCAGCTACCTCTTTGGAAGGATATTTTTTTCTTTTTTTAGGAACTAGATAAATTTGGAGGACATATAAATTAAACATTTTTACACCATTTATGTATCAGTTTATTTTGTATGCATTTTCAGTGCATATCTCTTTTAATACCATCTTTGCAAGCATGTAGTTATTTTAGTTATTTTACAGTAATTTGTATGTTTCCTATATTTTCAGTATTTCATGCTGGAAAACAGAGTATGAGTATAATAGAGATAATACAGTATTATATAACAGAGATAATACAGTAAATGCTGTATTATATATTGTAAACAAATACCAGGAGTACAGAGTACATATATAAGAATGTCTGTTCACAATTCACAATCACTATATGAATAGAAACAGACACTCTTATATATGAGTGTCTTGCCTTTATTCAATCAATCAATTTTTATTACGGGCACAGACCAACATTACAAGTAAAAGATTAAAAGCAATAATAGTAAAAAATAAAAATAAAAGATAGGAAGAATAATTTATTGTGATTGGTGATGGATTATCAGTGGGTAGTTAGAGTCTGCCTAATTTTGCACACAACGTAACAGAAATCTTTACACACATTGTATAATAGTTAAAAGTTTTTGCGCTTTCTCTTTTCTGTAAGATTATTTCTTTTAGTATAAAATAGTTGAAATATTGGTATCCAGCTAGGATTCTGTTATTAAAGCTATTACAATAAAAGTGGTTTTGATCTATATGGCATTGGTTTTATAATTTGTTCAATCTTATAGGACTGACATATAGAAAAAGCCAATCAGAATTAAATTCCAGAAGAAATACAAAAAGGATAGGGAAATCTGTAGAAAATAGTGGTGGATTAACACAATAAGATCTCCAAAAGATATGGATATTAGATATTTAAATAATAAAAGGCCAATGTTTGAAGTGGTCTGTGATATGATATAGGACTGGCTTGTACGGATAGAAAGTCATGATAAAATATAGTAAATAGTTTTGGTATAAACTTACAATAATTTAGTTATGAGACTGTATTTTTAATGTCCTTTTTTTTCTTTTGCTTACAATTTATTTCTCCTTTTTAACATCTGTTTAATTCCAATATAAGTAAGATAATGGATATGAATGTATTTCATGTGAAGCTTTATTTTACTTTAAAAATGACATGGAATGCAAGTTTTTTCTTTGTTTTCCTCTGTATCAAAATGACAATCTTAGCTAACCATGACTATCAAAGCATGAATCATATTAGAAGATATATTTGATGTGTGTGTATATGTGTGTGTGTGTGTGTATGTGTGTTATATTTGGGGACTTGGATAACTTTTCACCAAATATACTATCTTCCATTTGAAGAAACCATTACTTTATTTTTGATGTGTTGGTTATTGAATCCTCTCAATATACCTACAATTTCATTCTCTCTTTTTCATACTATCTCTTGCACAGGAACACAGACACACAGATACTCTCTCTCTCACACACACACACACACATACACACACAAACATCCATACACAGAAACAAATAATCGCAGGCATATTGATGCCATATCTTTCTAGCATTAATTGGTAAGCCAAACTCTTCTTTTAAAACTTTTATTCATTCTCATTTTAAAGATAGTAACACTTTCATAAGAAATAATTGTTTATCCAAGAATCAAATTGGTTGTCCTTGGCATAAGAAAGCTGACACGAAAGCAGCAGCCAAGGATGCTTGGGAATGTTTGGATTCTTTATCTTCAGCATTCTTTCACTGTGGAAGCTAGAAGAAGGAGGAGAAGAAGAAGAATAGGATCAATCTGTATATCTGGTGCCAAAGATATATATATATATAATATTTAAACTCAGTTATCAAGAATTAAAGGAAAGAACTAAGGGGAGAAAATGAATTTTGAGAGAGACATTATGGAAGAAATAGATTTTGGTGACAACTTCCATTGCTAACATTTTACATGAAACCTATTTTTGTGACAACAATGTAAATGGCAATGGAACTAAAAATAACCATGGCACTGCATAAGAACCTATGTGTTCCAAATTATCAGCATAAATTGCTGAATGATAAATGTATAATTCAACATGCCTTTTTGTCATGGTCTGTTATAAATCCAAAGAGAAAATATTAGCTTAAACTAAAGGATTTTGTGAATAAAGAAATTAAATTAATTCACCTTGGATTTTTCAAAATAAGGAAGGAATTGTTTGAAGAAATTGAGGAATCATATTATGTTAATCTAAAGAAATGTCATGACTGGATAGAGGTTTATTCACACATTGTTATCATTGGTGCGCAGGGATGGCTTCTTCTCCCATTCAAGCATCATCAGCATAAAATCACTAAAACATTGAGATATAAACTCAATGTTTATATCTCTATATTAACTCACCTAAGATAGTTTACTCGATTAGATGACCACTCTGTTCAACCAGCTTTTGACCCTGAAAAAAACAGGTATATATAAACTGAGACTTTGTTGAACAAAGTAAATCACACAAATCTTCACCCAGTTGAATAAATTAATTGTGTTCTTCCTACAGTCATTATTATGAAGAGAAGGCTGCTTCTGCACCTAAAATCCTCCATGCTTGTATTCACAGGAATATTCTTCTTAGATCTGTCAGTTTCTCATTCCACAGGAAGACAAAGATATCTGTACACACGCACACACACATACACACACACACACACACACACACACACACTTCCTTCTCCTGTTTTTCCAGCAACAACAACCCTGTGTGTGTTGGGCTGAGACAGGACAAGTATCCAAAGTCACTCAGTCACCTTTCATGCCTAAGGCAGGATTAGAACTCACAATTTCCTGGTTTCTATCTTGGTGCCTTAACCACTAGACCAAATTGGCTTTATACAAGATATTACCAAAACTGATATAGGAAAAGGATAAAGTTAGTATGATGTGGACTTTTGGTCTGCAACATTTTGCAGTATGCACATACAAAATCCTTTTATTTGAAGCTGCTGGGAAGTTTTTATAACTGAACTCAAGATATCTGTGTGCCTAGCATAATACACCAGTGACAACACTTTTGTTTCTTTTTGTGCTGCAAATCTGCAGAATTATTTTCTAAGAGAGAAATTACATTTTGCTATCAAATTTTAGATGTCTGTGGTATATATTTCTAATAGCTGCATTCCATTCAAATGCATGCAATTTGTGAACAAGTTAAATTTGCTTTCACAGTGAGATGCATATCTACTTATATTGTAGAACCTTACTAATTGCAACTATGACTTATAATTAAAATATGAAAACTATACAAATTAAAAAAATAAAACTCCCCAAAAATCATCACTAAGACAGATGGCATAGAGAGGAGATCTTCCTATCCCATAAATCACAATGATATATGCTACACTTTCTCACAATATGGATGACACAGAATGCTTAATAATAAATGGATGAATGGTTGACTGAATTCTAGGAGGATGTATGTAAAATATCAGATCAAACATTCTTCTGAATATAAAAAAAGCAGAAAATTAGGGCTGGAATCCATATATCTGTTCCCTTTTCTTTTACACATGGCCATGCCAACTGTGAACTGTAAGAGTAATATCTTATTGCACCAAACTGGTGCTTATTTGATGAAGGGAAATTTAAATTTGGAGGCAGCAATAAGTCAGAACACTTTATTAAGTGTTATTAAACTTTCTCCATCCATGTTTAAGGTATACCTTTGTAAAATGTCAGAGCATTCCTCTTCGTTGTCAGCTGCACAGCAACTTGTCTGGAGCTCTTGGAAAAATAGCATTCCATATGCAATCTCTTTCTCAATGATATTAGGTTTGGATTTTATCAAGTCGATAAGCAAACTGCAAAACAAACAATAACTATAATAGCAGAAGAAAAGATGAAAAGAGAATGAAAATAAATGCTGCAAGATAAATTACCAAAGACACTTTGAGAATATAGGTATCCTAAGATATGGGCGGAACCTCAATAACTGCCTAGCATATAATAAGATGCATTCAGGAACTGCAAAGATATGAAGTATCATCTCTTATTTGATGTAAAACCTGTAACAATATATTAGATTAAAAGGACTTTGTTTTCTTACCCTTGCCTACTGTTCTGCATAGTCTCTTCATTAGGTGAGCACAAATTTTCAGGGGCATCCAGTGCTTTAGGTTTGAATGGAGGAGGGACGTGGGATGGATCTGGTCCTAAGTTACTGATACATTCCCAACGGTTAATAAAGGAGGAACCACAGCAATGGCAAACTTGTTTGTTTGTGAAATGTTCTTTGTGATATCTACATAAAGATCCTATCACCTTATCCACCTGAGAGCAGAGAGAGAGGAAAAAATCCAATGAACTTCTTCAGCTACATGATATGACTACTGTAAGATGCATGCTAGGCACATAACATTTCAAGGATTTGCCCAGGGGCGGATTTTCCTATAGGCTAACTAGGCTTCAGCCTAGGGCCTCAAGATCAAGAGGGGCCTACATTCCCTACATTCAAATTGTTAGCAAAATTAAAATTACACTTTCACTATAGGTGAAAGGGCCTCATAAATGGAATAGCCTAGGGCCTTTTTTCATCTAAATCCGGCCCTGGATTTGCCTTTATTAGATGCTAAAAGGATTGCATGAAAGGAAAGTCAAAAACAACTCTGGCTAAATTAATAGCTGTTTTCTCTGAATATTGAAAATCACACACTTTCTTTCCTAGGGGAAGAAACTCATTGAGATTTGTCATAGATAACTGCAGATTCTGTCTGTCTGTTTGTCTGTCTGTCCATCTGTCTCCATCCACCCCAAGATAATAACAAGAAACAAAATTACATCTAATGAGTTGACTGTAAATTGCTTTACAGAAATGTTCAATGTGTTGCATATTTTTGGTAGCAAGATATTTTTAAGGTTTCAGATTTATAAATGTATAACCTTTATTCATAAATAAAATATTAAAAAGACAAAATGAGAATGTAAACCAATATTTCTCCACTGAGAATATACAGCTTCAAATAATGTCATAACCATATTTTGAAAATGGATTTTTGAGTTCCACCAAAATGGATTGTACTTTGTTAGTCAGCAACACTGAATTAACTAATTTGAAGTATTTGTTTGAAAAAGATACATCAGAAATATTGCATGTGATGGAGTATTATATTAGGAAACCTTTTGATAGTATGTATTGTAAATGAAAATATTTAAATTATTTGCACTGAAAAATAAGATTTCCTGGAATTTACAGAGCTATATGTATCAAGGAAACATGTACAGATTTATAAATGAGAAAAAAATTATGAAAAACACAGGTGCAGATACTAGTATGTTTCTATTACATATGGATTTATTTATTTATTTATTTTTAAATTTGTATACCGCCCTTCTCCCTGAGGACTCAGGGCTGTGAACACCCAAGTAAAAACATAAACTACAAACATTAAAATACAATTAAAAAGATATATATAAATTTGGCCCCATGATTAAAAGCAATAACAGGCAATTAAAAACTTGCTGGAAAAAGAAGGTTTTAAGAGCACAGCAGAAGGCACCGAGGTCTTGGATTCTCCTGGGGCAGCGGATTCTCCTGGGGCAGCTGATTCCAGAGGGTAGGTGCCTCCACAGAGAAGGCCCTCCCCCTGAGGAGGCCCTCTTTGTGGCCCTCCTGTTTGGCTGATGGCACCCTGAGGAGGCCCTCTTTGTGGGAGCGCACAGGTCGATGGGAGGCCATTGGTAGCAGCAGGCGGTCTCGAAGATAACTAGGTCCTATGCCATGGAGCGCTTTAAAGGTGATAACCAACACCTTGAAGCGCACCCGGAAGACCACTAGGAGCCAGTGCAGCTCATGCAGGAGAGGTGTTGTATGGGAGTGCCATGCGGCTCCCGTGATTATCTGCGCGGCCGCATTCTGGACCAGTTGGAGCCTCCAGGTGCTCTTCAAGGGGAGCCCCATGTAGAGAGCGTTGCGGTAGTCCAGGTGAGAGGTGATGAGGGCATGAGTGACTGTGCACAGGGAATCCCAATCAAGAAAGGGCCGCAACTGGCGAATCAGGCGAACCTGACAGAAGGTCCCCCTGGCTACAGCCGTCAGATGTTCCTCCAAGGATAGCTGTGTATCCAGTGGATTCCCAGATTGCGTGCCCTCTCTGCGGGGGCCAAAGACTCGCCCCCGATAATCAGTGATGGAGTCAACTGACTATATCGGGATGCCGGGAACCACAGCCACTCAGCCTTGGAAGGGTTGAGCTTGAGCCTGTTCCTCCCCATCCAGATCCGCACAGCCTCCAGGCACTGGGACATCACTTCAAGGGCATCGTTGGGGTGGCCTGGGGTGGAGATGTACAGCTGAGTGTCATCAGCATACTGATGTTACTTCACCCCAAAGCCACAGATGATCTCACCCAGCGGCTTCACATAAATGTTGAACAGAAGGGGCAAGAGGACCGACCCCTGAGGCACTCCACATATAAGAGGCCTCGAGGTCGACCTCTGCCCCCCTGCCAACACGAACTGTGACCGGTCTGAGAGAAAGGAGGAGAACCACCGTAACATGGTGCCCCCCATCCCCAACTCTTCCAACCGGTGCAGCATGATACCATGGTCGATGGTATCAAAAGCCGCTGAGAGGTCTAACAGGGCCAGAACAGAGGAGCAACTCCTGTCCCGAGCCCTCTAGAGATCATCTACCAACGCGACCAATGCCATTTGCATGCTGTGGCCGGGCCTGAAACCCAACTGGATTAAATTACTGTCATATACATCTGCAGGGATAGGTATTTTTATACTTGATTAAATGTTTTGTTTCTGCTTGTTTCAGTTTTCTGTCATTATAAATAGAAAGTTAATATTTCTATTTATAGAAATATAATTTCTATTTAATAAAATTTGTTGCTTACTGAGATATTTGTGGAATACTCAGTGTCTGAGTTCATTTGAAGATAGCGTGCCTAAGCCTACTCCATCTACAGATCTTTTATTGTGACATGTCACGAATGGAAATGGAATAGAATCAATGGACCAGAATATAGGGAGGAAACAATACTCACATTTTCTAAAGCACATGAGACTTGGTGATCGCTATCTAATTTACAGCATTTCTCAGCAACCTTTGCCACTTTTTTGCTGAACTCAATCAGATAATAATTTGGAGCCTGTGGTATAATTTTGCTATACTTGGCCAAATATCTGAAGGAAAAAGTAGATATTAATAATAGTATTATGTATTGATTAGAAATGTTGTATGTTGTTGATTAAAGCAAGTTTGTAAAAGCATTATAGGATGCTAGAAAAAAAAAGAATTGTCGAAAATTAATTTATAGAGTTTTAGTAAAATTTATACAATGTTTCCCTTTGTACAAAGTCTAAAGATCCTGATTATGCAAACACATCTCAGCCATTGCATTCTGTTTGGACACAAGAGAAGCAGAAAAGTAAATATTAACTTTGCTGTTAACTTAAATGCTTTATACATATGGCCACAAGCTCTATGGTACTTTATTCCTTTGGTGCATTTTAAAATCCTTTTATATCTTGAAAACTTTATTATTTTAGCATTTTACTATTATTAAAAGTAGGTTCACAGTTACAATTTAATCCTCTTTTATTAATAGGCAGCAAAACCTTTAGAAATTAATTTCTAATTTCCTGAATATTCACTTGAAAAAACCTGAAAATCTCTACAGGTACAGGAAAATCTCAAGTCATTTTAAACATTTGGTGGAATATGATTTTATTTAATCTTCCTGAAAATAGACAATTCTGCATCCATAAATGGTTCTGCTTGTTGAACATTTGCAAACTTATCATTCAAAGGAAAACTTACACAATTTGGAAGAACTGTCTTCCTGTATCTTCATAACGGTCACAATTGTTCTTCACAACATCATTAATCTTAGTAATGTATAATTTAATTTCTTCTTCCTGAAAGAGAAGTATTGCAATAACAATGAGCACACCTAAGAAGAAGCAATATAAATAATGCTGGGAGAAAGTTGGAGAAATATCTAAATAATTCTTACTCTGGAGGAGATAAGGGATATTAAAGACAGCTGAAGATGGGTTCGGCAACTTTGGTTTTGCCCCATGTTAAAGGCAAAGGTGAATGGAAAAGAATGGAAAAGATCATGAATTGTTAAAATATTTTTGTTGTATAATCATTAAGAATGCAAACTTTATGACTATAAAGGAAGGAGAAAACAAACTGTATCTTCTAATCTGGCCAGTACCATATATCCCTTTCAGATCTAGGTGTGTTTTTTCCACAGTGTTTTCTTTTCATATTTGTTTTCCTACAACCTCTATTCAAAATTCAGGAATCTTTAAAAACCTGCAATTGTCATCATAATTTTAAAGTAAATCTGTAATCAACTGTTCACTTTTTAAAAACATCATACAAATGTCTTTATGTCTAATTCCATTCTGAATAAATATAAAGTCATTTATATTAAGTAAATAGTATCAACAACTACACTTCCTTTCTATAGAGCGCTGCCATAGAAAATACTATGCCACATTCCTACCATCTGAACTTGTTTTGTAGATTAGACGTATTACAGGATCTCTAAAACTTACATGAAGATATAACCAGATCATTTAAAATAGAATGAAGTGATATTTAGGGATTTACAATAACTAAAAACTTAAATTTGGCCTGGAAATGAAACCAGTGCAAGTGTTATACATAAGACCTGTGTGATATAGCAAGAAAAGCAAAAACCAGAAAACTATTTGGCTATTATACTTTACAACAGTTATGATTTCCAAATATATGAGTGGAGTGGCTGCTCCATTCAGTATACATTGTAATAATCTAAAATCTGACTTTTGGTGTAATAAATCTTCCATTTTTTCAAGCAAAATAAAACATTGCAAAACAAAACTGAGAGGAAATAAACAAACAAACAAAAAACAGCCTCACACATTTCTATGGCTGAAATGTTCCTTTCTTGGCATGACATTTAATAAAGATCTTGCCTGAATCCTTCATGTGAGATATTTTAAATCAAAATAGATTTTGTTCTTTATACTGTTTCCGTCTTCTCTTAAAACATTGACAGAATCCACAATGACCTGAGAATTCGTCTTTCCACTAGACAATTGTTAGTCAAGCTGAAACTAAATTAATCAAGAAAAACTAGCAAATAGGGGAATATCTTTTACCCAAGCTTCCTCAAACCTCCAAATAAATTACCCAGACTAATCCACATATCAAAGGATAAGGTCTGCAAACAAATAAGAATAAACACTGTAGCCGTACCCACCCCCCAAACACACACATGTGTCCCTCAAATGCCACCGTGGAATCAGCGCATAGACACTTCCACACCCAGGACAAGGGCCCCTATTTTACTATATTACTTTATCCCATTTCTCTGCAGCTGCCCCTAAAGGCAAACATTTTGTTTTTAGGAATAAATATTTCTTTTTACCTCACCACTGTTGGATCTCAATTTTATTTAGTCTTGCATAACCCCGGCTTTAATTGCAACCCCAAATTATTCTTCTGAGAATAATTTGTTTTCCTGTTTCTGAATAATTATTAATAATGCTACAGGAGGGGGTGGGTAGGGCTGGTCAAGGGTGGGCAGGGAATTAACAGGATGTCCCCTGGGTAGAGACAAAGAAACTCACCCCTGTATGCAAACACTCTACATGGTCGTCAAGTTTGCAGCATTTTTCCAACAATTCTTCATATCTATGCAAAATTTCCAGATCAATCAGCTTAGAAAGTTCAGGGTGGTTACTTATTAACGCAAAGAGGAAGCTAAAACAGGTGAAAAATGGGATCAGAAAATACTTTTAGCAACAAAAAGGAGACAATATATTCTGAAATGTATTGTTTTAGTAATCTGTAAAAAATCTTGTCCTTTTGCTATTCTAGATTTTGCAAAAGACCTTCTAGTCAGCCATTTGAAATTATGATGTGAACTAAAAATATCTGCGTGTCCTTCAGTTCCCTATCATGTTTTATATCCAACTGGAAATAATATTATCCAAATGTATATGTTTTCCAAGATCAATTTTTTTCTATCTCAGATTTAGTTTGCCAGATCACTTTGCTTCTTAACCATTAGTTTTTCTTTAAATTTCTTTCGCCTTCTTTATCTGTCTTGCATTAAAAAGATTTCTCAGCTTTTTAATTCCAGTTTCTTATCTCTAGATTAACCTACTTACTCTCCCCCATCTGCCTGAACATTTAACTGCTTGAAGTAAAGGATAATGAAATCTTCTCCATTCAATGTACAAAACCCAACTGGAGTCTCAAGTGAATCTTGTTTCAGTGCTGACAATGCAAGTAGATCCTTACAAACAAGGTAATGGCCAGCTGGGTGGGATGTGGCCATGATGGGCATGGCCAGGGGATATGAAAGGCAGCACTCAGCCTCCTGCACCCCCTGGGAGCAAAAATGGGCCACGGGGGGCCGCGATACACCACACGTGCCCCATTTTGGGCCTAGTAGGCCTCCCTCCTAGGAAGCAAAAATGGGGTGCGTGGGGACTTCTGAAAAGAGAGGGGAGGGGAGAGGCCAGCAGCAATTTAACAACTGGGTTGGCTGAAGTGAGGCGAACCGGTTGAATCACACCACTGGTTTAGCCCAACCAGTTAGTGTGGAATAGTGTGGAATTCTCTAAACTGTACCTTTCCTTGTATTCAGTTGCATTTTCACGATAAGATGTACATGCTTCTGTCTCTTTTAAGATTTCTCCAGATGGTGGAGGCAGATCAGGAGATCTTGCATCATTTTCCAAAGTAACAATGCAGTGTGGTCTTTCCACCAGAGTCTCTCCGCAGCAATGATCAAGGTTAGAAGATATAGCATCTTTGTGCTCACAGATATACTGTGACAGTGCTGCCTGTAAGAAAACACAGAGATTGGTCCTTTGAAGACAGGCAGGTTACAATCGGTGGAACTGTGGACTATTGCAAAACTCTTTCAAGGTTTCTTTCCAGAGAAAATTAATAATAGTGAACTACTAACTCTTCAAAAGATCTTGCTCTGACATAACTTAATAAATAGATTTTTTTTATTTATTATAAATAAATAAATATTTTATTTATCCATCTCCTAGTATTGTTTATTAGTGGTGGATAAATATAGTGTGTCATTTGTATAATAAATATAATTAATAACAATATGTTTAATATTGAGGTATAGAGAATTACCTTGACATGGATATGGAGCTTCTGTGCTCTAAAGAAGAGGAGAGTTATGCTGGAGATTTAATTATACTGGCAAGGTCTCATCAGAGGAGTTAGACAAGGAGTGTCTCTCCCATAAAAAATATAGTGAGACATCAATCACAAAAACCCAAACAGGTTTGGTCATTGCCCAAATGAAGAGGGGCTGGGCTAGATGTTGGACTTCTTGGACATCTGGTGAAAAATGGGCTACAGGACTTAGGATCTTTGGCTGAGTAACCAGGGCCAGAAACTGCAGAACTACTGGAAGGAAAGGTGTTTAACCATTATAAATGTAAAGCAATTGAAAATAAATTAAATTATTATTATTGATTTGACTTAGTTAGCCAGATATTTAGACTTGATTTGGCATTTTTGTCTACCTACTGAGTCCTTTCCGAGGACCTGGAATATGCACCCAAGGTGCCTATTACTATACTATTACAGTACTATTGGTATTACTTTTGCCTGCTTTTGCCACAGACATTCTATTTTATTTAAGTGATAGGTGCCTGTCTGTTTAAATTCTATAGACCCAGAACAATTTAGCTTTTTCATTTTCTATGACTTTCTCTATTTTATGGTCCCACCTGTTCTTGCTTGCAGGCAAATGATATTTCTTGCAGATCTTCCAATGCACTATTGTTACTTTGTCATGCTTTGTCAGCATACTTTGTCATACTGTTGCCTGTAGTTAGCTTGGGTGATCTTCTTGCAGCAGCTAACCAAATGGTCTACTGTTTCTTAGGCTTCTTTGCAGAGATGGAATTTGCTATCTTTTACTATCTTCTCAATTCTGGCTTTGTATGCATTTGTCCTTAAGGCTTGTTCTTATGCAGCCAAAGTTAACCCCTTTCTTCAACTTTCCTGCTCTTAGCCATTTCCAGGTCCTGTTATTATCTGCTTTCCCTGCTATTTTTTTTTTTTAAATATACTGACCATGTAATGCTTTGTCTTCCCATGAAAGATTTTCATTTGATCTTTCTTGTAGACCAGTTTGGTCTCTCTACTGCTCAGTATGCCTTTCTGGTACACTAGCTTCAGTGCATGTTCTTCACCATCCTTCAGATATTCTTCCAAGGCCCTTTTTTATTCTTCTAGCATCTGATGTACTTGCAACCTTCCATGGTCGCCCATTTTCCTTGGAAGATCTGTCAATGTCACCATGACTCATTTGTCATTATTTTTTAAGTCTCCCATTCTATCACCATTGATCAGCAACTGTATCTTCCATCGATCTTTGCACAAACCTTCTGATGTTTCTACTGACTCCTGTTATTTCTAGGCACTTGATTATTCAATCATGTGGCAGGGAGTCAAATGCTTTCCTGTAATCAATCCATGCTACATTGAAATTGTAGCATGCAGTTTTCCAGAATCATCTTATGAATTAGAAGTTAATCTTTTGTTTCTCTGCTGTTTGGGCAATTTCCTTTCTGCTCGGATGGAAATAGTTAATTTTCAACTAGATGTTGTTGGACTGCATTATCTGTCACACCAGATAGTAATTTGAAAGTTGTTGGTAAGTAGGTAAGTGGCCTGTAGTTGCCTGGTGCTGCCCCATTTTGTTGGAACTTTCATTATCAGGTAGGTTTTGTCTGATGTTAACCACTCTTCAATTTCACTTCCTTGCAGTATGTTGTTAAATTGCTTGGAAACAAATAGATATAGATGTTTCAACCAAAATCCAAGCAATTCATTGTGCAGAAACTTCTTAATCTTCTTTGAATTTATCTCCACCATTTTTGCTGTTATTACAAGTTCTTTCATCTTTTTGTGTGTGTGTGTACTTATCCATCTCCTTTAACCAAGCTGAATTTTTGTTGTATTTCTTTGGATTATCTCATATATGTGCCCCAAACTGTACTGTTTCTTCCTTGTAGATACTGACTTCCATCTCTTCATTGATGGATTGGTAGAAATATTTCTGATTGGATTGAAATTGCAGATTCTGCCTATAGTTTGCAATTCGATCCTCGTGGTTGCTGATCTTCTTGGCTATATATATTATTTGCTGCTTTATTATATCAGGTGCTTCTTTCATCTTCCTTGTTTTCATGTGGTATTTCTTGATTAGGTACTCTTTGGTTTACTTATTCTTCAGCTGCTTTTCATTCATCTGTTCTAGCTTGCTTGCATCTGATCTCACCTTACCGATCTTATTTTCCAGGCTGATCTTCCATTTTGATGGGCACTGTTTGCTTTTCTTCTTCTTTGTTGATTTTGAATCCTTATAACTATAGCTGTACATACATTGGTTTGTTTCTTGCAGTGAGCTGGGTCTCATATTTTATATCGTAGTATTGGCATCTTTTAATGCTTGGCTAGATGTTTCTTTGGAACAAGTTTTAATGCAGAAAACATTATTCTGAGGTGTTTCTGCTGTCTAGATGCTCAGTTATTCTTTGTTTCAATTCTTCTACTTCTTTAGCTAAAAGGATTTGTTCTTTCTGATATCACAGCTATCTCCTCTTTTTCCTCCTCCTTTTTCTACTTGCTTGATTGTAGAATCTGGTTTTTTGTACTGTGCTGGCCTACTTCACACAGCCAAATAAAACAAAACAAAACAAAGCAACAAAACAAAAACAAAAAAATATTCCAGATTAAAGAGAGAGTTATATCTTGATGGTTTGGGGGTTGGGAAAATTTGACTTGCTGAAGATCAGGTAATCAGCTTATGTGCCTAAAGAAGAACCAGAACCTGGGTCTCTGTATTCTTATATCAGGAAAATAAAGAGTCCAATTTCAAGAATTTAGGAAATTGGAAGATAAGTTAAAAGAACATCAATCTGAAATATCATCAGATAAATTTGAAAAATTCAAAAGATAGTACTAGAAGAAATGTCCAAGTCAAAACTAAACTAAACTAAAACAAAAATATTGGGGTTGAGATAGAATGTTTAAGAAGCCACCTCTTGACTTTGTACATTATATTGGGTATATTCATTGAATGAGTGCATTATCCCCTCAAAAGCATTTTTGAAATCAAACAATCAAACACAAAAGAGCCTCCTTCTTATAGCTTTCATATCTATATATCATAGGTTTGAAACAGAAGAAATAAAATGAATACGTCTTACTCTGTCAAGTGTAGCCTCCAATGAATCCCCCTTACAAGTTTCTTCATGGATATGTACAATATCTTTAGCAATATGGGTTATGATTTCTAGATTAGCATTTATGAACTTTTCTGCTGTCTCAATAAATTTTCTAGAAATAAAAGGAAAAAAAACATTAGGTTTACTTCAAAGCAGTCATTAAATATTTACAATGTACATTATTTCACAATATCATATACAGCTAGTCTTCGACTTACAACCACAATTGAACCAAAATTTCTGTTGCTAAATGAGACAGTTGCTAAGTCAGTTTTGCCCTATTTCGCAAACTTTCTTGTTAAATGAATCTCTGCTGTTATTAACTTAGCAACATGATTGTCAAGTGAATCTGACTTCTACATTGACTTTGTCAAAAGTCACAAAAGATCACATGACTCTGGGACAGTGCAACCATCATATATACATGCCAATTGCCAGCACCTGACTTTTGACCACATGATCACATAGATGCTGCAATGGTTGTAATTGTGAGTAACTTTTTTCACTGTCTTTATAACTTCAAATGATCACTAAATGAATAGTTGAGGACTACTTGTAATTAAGAAGGACAGTATAGCTATCATATCTATGAATATTCCAAGTATTTAATCATTTATCTTTCAAACTATTTCCATATCACTTTGTACCAGCCAACATTCTTTTTCATTTTTAAATTTGATCATCCACATAATTACATAATTTATTTTGCAATCAGATTTGGGGATTTGTGGCTGCAGCCGCTAACGTTATGACCTTCTCCCCAACACCAGGAATTTTCCTCCCATCCTAGTAAGGTAAACCCCATGGTTTGACATTAGGTTTCCTTTGCTGCAATATTACATAGGTAAGATACAATTATTTTTCTTTCACTGAACAATAATCACTTCAGTAATATGCAACATTAGTCAGATCAGTCTCCAGGGAAGGGATATTGTTGGAATTCTTCCCATGGGAACTTTTTCAAATTAGGAGAAAGGCATAACCAAGTTGATCTGGAAAGATGTGTATGAATCATAAGCAGATGCATATGAATCATAACTATGAATAAGCAGAATCCTCCTCACCTGCCAACAGAACAGTAAACTGAAAACGACCACTAAGAAAAATATGAAACAAATTCTGAAGGATCATGAGGATGTTTTTTTTTTAAAAAAACCCAAAGAATTACAGAGCAGATTTAGCATAGCATCAGACTTTAGCATGAGTAGCAATTTCTTGAAATTTATAGACCCAAGAGCATTTCACATACTCAGAAATCAGTCTCTTTTAAGATGAGTAACCTTCTTGGTAAGTATCAGAAAATATATAAAAATATATTTGCGCTGGCCGCTTGTCGGCTCTTTGCAATTAAGGGGCTGCGAGACTGCATTTCGACCCCTCTTGCCATTGTTCGCTGTCTCAGCTGACTAGCGCTGATTGACGGCTCGCCCTCCTTCCGCGGCTCGGCGCCTTGCCTTTAGAGCGGAGCTGCGGCGATTTCTTATCTCCTGGCCTCAGCTGCTTGGCGCGAGGATTTGAAGCGGAGCGGAGCGCTCCCTGCCCTTGCCGCTTGTCGGCTTTTAGCTTAGAGGTCGGGTGGTTCCTATCCTGGTGTTGCGTTTGGCGCCAAAGCTCTGGGCCCTGATTAAAGTTTCGTGCTCGCTCGGCAGTGACCCGGGCGCCATTTTGAAGCGGTCTCTGTGCCGCCTGACTATCACTCGAGCCTCCAGCCCTTTAGGCTGGGCTTGCATACAGGTGCTGTTCCTCCTCCCTTCCCAGTAGTTGGGAACACTGAGTATAAGGCCAGGTTAGCTGGTAAACATTTTGCCACACATTGCTGACTAGATCTGGGCAATTTTCCTTGGCATTGTCTTACTCCATCCTTGAGTGGATTTACGCATATATTGCCAGTCTTGTTCTTATACATTTGGCCTTCCTGGTCTGGGGACTGTTCTCCCTGCCATGCCTAAAGCTCAGACCAAGACTAAACATGGCTGGAAGGCCACTGTCCGGGCCCAATCAAGGGCTTCCGTCCAGGAAACACAAACCCAGGCAGCAGGCAAAGAGGTGCTTCCTCCTGTCACTTCCTCTAAGCGCCACTCACCCGGTACCTCTGTACCTAAAGTTCAGGCAAATTCTGCAAACGTGGGCTCTAATAAACTAATTGGTACTGTGCGAGAGATTTCGCTAACTCCTGATCAAAGGTCCTTACAGGATTGTCCTATAGCAATCACTTCATCTGAAATTTGGGGTTCTAATCCCTTAGTGGGAGCTCGTTCAACTGGGAAGTCTAGCGCTCCCGGACTCGGGGTGGACCTTCCACCCACTTCTTCTGTTCCGGGCCGAGCCTCTACGGAAGCCGTCCCGGCTCCAGGTCTATCGCAGGTTAATTGGCAACCAGAGGACATTCAACGAATGATTGCCGTAGCGGTACATCAATCGTTGTCTAATCATTTCCATCCTGCCCAGGGGCCAGCCCCCTCTCGGTCAGTCATTTCCGAACCGGCTGAATCTCTGACCAGGTTCGAGATGGACGATGCCATTTCCCTGGCAGGTTCGGATTCCCCATCCGTCTCTGGGGTCAGTGTTCACTCCAAGGAGGTGGACATGGAACCCCAGGAACCAGACCTTTCAGAGGATGAGGGGTTGCCCCCAGACCAGCCGCCCTTCACGGGTCTGTTTCCCCAAGCCCTCTTAAAATCACTTCTTTTTAAAGCGGTTAACACTGCTCAACTAGGGCCTGCTACTCTGCCGGAGCCGTTACCTACTGCTGGCTCCTTGAATCCCTTATTTGCTGAACAGCCTAAGGCAATAACGACCATTCCTACTCCCCCACTTTTCCTAGAGGTCATTCAGAAACAGTGGTCGGCTCCTTCTTCTGTTCCAGTACCATCTTCCACTGATAAAAGAAACTTCATTGTCTCCTCGGACCTGGAGTCCCTGCTTCAGGTGCCCTCTATTGACTCCCCTGTGGCGGCATTGCTCTCTTCGTCTTCCATTCCGGGAGAACCTGAGGAAGGTCTTCGTCCTGAGGAGCGCAGGTCGGAACAAGTCCTTCAGAGAGCTCACATAGCGGCGGCATGGGCCATTAAAGCAGCAACCACCGCTTCCTTTTTTAATCGGACAACGCTCCTGTGGCTCAAACAATTGCAGGAAAAGATGTCCTCAGAGGACTCTAGGCTGAGACAGGACTTGAATAAGATTGTGGCGGCAGTTCAGTTTTCTGCAGACGCCACTCTACATGCCACGCGGTTTGCTGCTAAGTCCTTGGCCTCTTCCATCACGGCCCGCCACTTGGTGTGGCTCCGACATTGGCAAGCCGACGCCAGGCATAAGTGGCGTCTGGCGTCTGTGCCCTTTTCTGGCTCTAAGCTGTTTGGCGATCCTTTGGATAAGTTCCTTGTCGAGACCAAGGATAAACGGAAGGTCCTGCCGGCTATGTTCCGCAGAGGGGAACCTCGGGTTTTCCCTTATCCACCTCGCCCTCATCTTCGTCCGACGGAAGGGGGGATGGGCCCTTCCCGCAATACGGGTAATTTCTACCCAGGGGTTTTCAATCCTAGGCAGAGGAATTTTCAGGAACGACCAGCCAGGGGTAGGGGTTTTGGTCCCCGGCGGCCCTTTCGAGGGGGAGGGGGTCGTTCCATCCATCGCCGTCGTTAGTGGTACCAGAGTATCTCCCATTGGCGGAAGATTGGGCCTCTTCACCAAGACTTGGGAGGGTACTACTTCAGATTGCTGGGTCCTGGCCTCCATTTCAGCTGGGCTGGCCACTGAATTTGTTTCCACCCCCCCTTTGTCTTTTATCCGTTGTCCCCTGTCCCCGATAGCAGAACGTCGGTTCCTCATGGAGTCGGCTGTCAACCATCTGCTAGCCATTAAGGCTATTTAACGGGTACCTCGTGATGAGGTAGGACAGGGCTTCTATTCTAGGGTCTTCTTAGTCCCTAAGTCATCGGGTGGGTGGAGACCTATTCTGGACCTTAAAAGATTGAACCAATTTGTTATCTATAGAAGGTTCAAAATGCAATCCTTACGTTTGATCTTAGACGGCATACGGAGGGGCGATCTCCTCTGCTCAATAGATCTCACGGAGGCTTACCTCCACATCCCCATTCGCCCTTCTCATAGGAAGTTCCTTCGTTTTTGTTTTGCTGGGGTCCACTACCAATATAGGGCCTTACCCTTTGGCCTTTCCTCTGCTCCCCGTAGTTTCACCAAGATTTTGGCTACCTTAGCAGCTTACCTCCAGCTTCAAGCCGTTCGTCTCCAGTGCTATCTGGATGACATCCTTATTATGTCATCTTCTCATCAACAGGCCATGTCTGATCTCCGCCTTATGATTCAGACATTAGCGGCGCACGGCTTCTCTGTTAATGTGGAGAAAAGCCATCTAGTACCCTCGACTAGGATCCTGCATTTGGGGGCTATCATTGATTCGGTACAAGGAAAGGTCTTCCTCTCCCCGGAGCGTCAGGCCGGGTTGAGGTCCATGGTAGCTAAAGTCATGCGGGACAAGAGAGTTTCCCCCTTATTTCTATCAAAATTGTTAGGCAAGATGGTTTCTGCCATCTCTATTGTTCCTTGGGCCAGGTTACACCTTAGAGACCTCCAATGGTTTCTCTTGCCGTTACAGAGGACGGGCAAGGGATCCTCTCAGAGCAAGGTAGCAGTCCCACGGGAGGTGCTCACGTCCCTTCGCTGGTGGCGATCTCCTGCAATCTCCAAGGGCTGTCTGTTTCTGGAATTCCGGTGGGTGACTGTGACCACCGACGCCAGCAAGTTCGGCTGGGGAGCTCACTGCGGGGCTCGGGTCGCTCAGGGCACTTGGTCGTCCAGGGAATCCACCCGCAGCATCAATTGGCTGGAGCTGCGGGCCATTCATCTGGCGCTTCGGGCCTTTCAGCGGCAGGTGGACGGCGAACATGTGTTGGTGCTCACCGACAACACTTCTGCCAAAGCCCATGTCAACCGTCAGGGCGGTACCAGGTCCACATCGTTGATGCGGGAGGCAAAGAGATTAGGCCTTTGGGCAGAGAGGCATCTGGCCTCCTTGAAGGCAGACCATATTTCGGGGGTCTCAAACGTGATGGCGGACTGGCTGAGCCGCCAACATTTAGACCACGGAGAATGGAGTCTTCACCCGCTCCTATTCCGGAGGATAGCGGCTCATTTCGGAAGTCCGAAAGTAGACCTGTTTGCGTCTACTCAGAACAACAAGTTGCCTCGCTTCTTCTCCCGCTTCCCTTCCCATCAGGTGGAAGCTGCGGATGCTCTGCGCTCCCCTTGGCTACAAGACCTGCTGTATGCCTTTCCTCCGATTCCCCTCCTTCCGAGGGTGATTCGGAAATTATTACAGGAACAGGCGGAAATAATTCTAGTGGCACCACATTGGCCGAGGAGATCATGGTTCGCGGACCTCATGCATCTGTCAGTGTCTCCTCCTTGGCGGATCCCGTGCACCCCAGATTGCCTCAGCCAAGGGACAATGGTACATCCGGAGCCTCAGTGGCTTCAGCTGACCGCTTGGTGGTTGAGTGGGAAGCCCTGCAGCAGGACCACGTCCCTTCTGACGTGATCCATACCATCCTAGCCTCCCGGCAAGCATCAACGGAACGTATCTATTCAGCTACTTGGCGGTCTTTTTCCTCGTGGTGTGCGTCACAAGGAGTCTCTCCACTTCGAGCTTCAATCTTGCAAGTCCTTCGGTTCCTACAGTCCGGTCTGGACAAAGGGCTGTCTCCTAACACCCTCAGGAGACAAGTCGCAGCAATTTCTTCCATACTGACGTATAACTCTATACATTCTTTGTCTCAGCAACCTCTGATTCGGCGGTTTCTCCGAGGTGCAACTAATATCTGCCCACCTGTTCTGCATCGGTATCCCTCTTGGGACCTTCCCCTCGTGCTGGACTCTCTTATGGGGTCACCGTACGAGCCGCTTGATTCGGTCAGCTTGCGTCTGCTGTCTGGCAAGGTGGCCTTCCTGGTTGCGACCCCGTCAGCGCGTCGAATTTCTGAGTTAGCAGCATTATCCATTAGGGATGATTTATGTGTGTTTCATGGAGACCGGGTGGTCCTCAGATTGGACCCTACATTCGTGACCAAAATTAACTCTCCATTTCATCGTTTACAGGAACTGGTGCTACCAGATTTCTACCCCTGTCCTTCCAATCCTTTGGAGAGCCGTTTACACACGCTGGATGTCCGCCGGGCGCTTAAACTCTACATTCAGAGAACTGCTGCTATTCGGCGTACGGAATCACTGTTTGTCTCCTTTTTGCCATCTTCCTTAGGACAAAAGGTGACCTCTTCCACGGTGGGGCGTTGGATCCGATCAACGATTACAACTGCATACGAACTTCGGTCATTACCTCCGCCCTCTACAGTCACGGCTCATTCTACCAGGAGCGCTGCTACCACGGCTGCTTGGGCTTCCTTGGTCGACATCTGCAGGGCGGCGACTTGGACATCTCCTTCCCCCTTTATTAGACACTATAAGTTAGATAAATTCGCCTCTGCGGAGGCTGACTTTGGAAGGAGAGTGTTACAGGGTGTTGTTACCCGGGAGGGGTCTTCTGCCCAGACTGTTCCCGCCCGTGATATGGGACAGTGATCTTTGGTATGTCCCACGTCTGGCTGCTGTCTCCACCCTCAAGGGAGAAGGGGCGTTGGTCCTACCTGATACGCCCCTTCTCGTTGAGTGGAGACAGCAGCCAGCCCCACCCTGCTCGTAAGTCTGGGCTTTACTGTTTTTGGGTATCTAATTGTTGTTTTCTGCCTTTTTCTTTCCACACACCGAGTCTGTTCCTCCTTCGACAAAAGCAGAGTGCCCTAGCAACAGGGGCAGATTTAAGAACATTTCAGGCTCAGTCCAACCTCTGACCAATGAGCACAACCCACGTCTGGCTGCTGTCTCCACTCAACGAGAAGGGGCATATCAGGTAGGACCAACGCCCCTTTACTCCTACAAGAAATCCACATGCACCCTTGAATTCCACTAACTCTTATCTACCACCAATGTGCCTAGGCTTACATTAATTCAAATTCTTGTTTAGAGATAGATTAAAATAAACTTGTATTCATTTTAGACCTAATCCTGGATTCTGATTTATTATATCCGATCCTATAATGGAAAACAAAGGTATATCCATGTACGCATCAGGTTGAGTCAAAGAAACTTTACCATTTTGCGTAAGAAATGTATATATTTATTATGATCAAAAGTTTTCAAGAATTTTGCAAAACTGCTTAAAATTCTCTAGTTATTCCTCTTGCTATTTGTATACTAAGCATATTGCTCTATAGGTAGTCCTTGTTTAGCAACCATAATTGAGACCAACAATTGGTTGTTATGTGAAGCACATTTAAATGAAACCACAACTGTGCTTCTGATCTTATTTTTCCTTTGTTTTATAGATCTACAAAGGTTGTAAATGTCATTGTAAAGTTCTTTTTTACGTTAACTTTTTCCTAACTTAATATTTTTATCAATCTTTGTTTGATTAAACCATTGCACATGGATTTAAGATTATTTATATGAATTTATACATAAAAATTCCTAACGGTGGCTCCCCTTCCTCTCTCCCTCCCTCCTTCCCTCCCTCCCTTCCTTCCTTCCAATTTAAGTTCCTCATATGGGATCTTTTGATTGTTTCAAGAAAATTGTATATGGGAATGGATTTGGGAGACAGTAGTCTAGTCAACCATCTCAGCCCACACAGATAAAAAGGGGTGTGTGAATCACCTCAGAAGGGATCCCCTGTAGTTTCCATGAAAGTAAAAATAAAGGATGGGAAAAGTACTTTCAGACTTATAACATTCTGTTATTTAAAGATAATATTTGTAAGTTTGTGCTTTTTGTCTGCATTACCTGAAAGGATTGATTATAGCAAAGTACTAATTTATTAAACGTATATAGGTCTTTCCCAGATGGTCAAAATACAAAATTGTTGAGCCCAGACTTTGTCATTATTCACACTATTTTGAAATATTTTGTGTCTCTAGACAAATAAAACTTGAAGAATTATAAAAAGCCTCCTTATTTCCGTCAGTCTTTGGAGATGATCTCTGAAACTTTTTCTTATCAATCAAATACTTTCATTTGTTTCTGTCCCCTTTCTCTTTTGAGGTGTTTCATAGACAAGGGCAGAATCAATGAAGATTTTGTCAATAATATCAATAAGCTATTGTCTGCTTATTTTCAGCTTTCGCTACCAAAGTCTTTTCTGAATATACCTGATTGCTTCCCTTCCAGGTAAACCAGATAGGACACATGAAAAAATGAATTAATTCTCCTTTATTTTATAGCTACCATGTTTCCCTGAAAATAAGACCATGTCTTATATTTCTTTGAACCCCGAAATAAGCGCTTGGCCTTTCAGGGAGGTCTTATTATTTTGGGGCATGTGGAGCAAGATGGGGCTCCTCTTGCCATCTTACCTGATTTCCAGCTCTGTCTCCCTAACCCTAATCAGAGGAAATGGTGGGGACCGGCTGCACATGCATTTATATATTTTTGGGGAGCAGTTTATTTTAGTGCATGCACTCTAAAGCCCAATTAGATTTATTATCAGGGGATGGCTTATTTTCAGGGAAAAAGGTACATCAATAGTATTTCACAAGTCTGAAATTACAAAGTCCACACAACTTTTAACCATCTGTTCAATTTAGAGTGGGTCCTTCCTAATCATCTTCCTCTGACTGTTAAGCCCTTGGTTTTCCCTCTTTCCTTGTTTAATTATTTCCTAGCCAGCAATGCTTTCACTTTCCCCAAGGTCACTGATAAGTTTGTTTTGGGTAGAGAATACATTCTGCATGTTGAAACATATTAATATCTGCTCAAGATGGTCCCAAAGCCTAGATACAGAATTTTTTGATGCATGTTCTTAGGATTTCATTCCTCACTCCATCCCAAATAAATTAGACTTACAATGCATATAAGGTTTCCTTTCCATAATTGTTCAGATTGAAACAAGTGTTCTCCTGTTCATCAATAATTTTCCTGGCTTTCTTTCTGACCTCTTCTGCCTATTACAAAACCAAAAGAGAAAAGAAGAAAATGTTTTGCATTATTGTCCAGTAAATTGGGAAAAAGATATAAGAAAAGAGATTAATAATAACAATTGCACCTTGAGTACAATCCCAATCACAAAAGACAGTTTACATTTATATTTTATATATTTTATATCTTTATGTTGTTTTTAATAGTTATACAGAATTACTAGAGTTGAAATGGCCTCACTTGATATAAATAACTTCTGATGAATCCTGAAGGAGTAAGTACCGCAATTTTTTTCTACAAAGTTTCAAGATGCAAAATGAAATACCTTTTTTTGGATGCAGGTATCTTTTTCTACTTCTTCACAGCAAGTTTCCAATATTTTATCAAAGCTTTTAGTTGCTGCAGAGAGTACAATAATGAGTGCTGTTGGATTTCTTCTGGAGATCTCATAAAGATGGCTATGAAAAATAAAACATGTGTGTATGTGTGAATCTGAGGAAACAATATTTATATTACAAAAAATAATAGGCAGATGAAGTTTTTTTAAGATAGTCAACAGTGCTGTTCTATAATAGCCTAATGAGGATAAATTTCAAAGTTGCTATCTAATGGATAGTAAATGTACACAACAATAGGACTTGGAATAATATGGTGATGGGAATATGTTTGTACTGCAACATCCTTGTACTTTTAAATTGCTGCTATTATGGGGAAGATGAAGATTGAATCTTCTCATTTTAGTTTATACAATGTCTGTGCACCTGTTCTTGTACTAACTTTAGTGAAATAATAGACATAATAGAATCACATCTTTCTTAGCATGATTTACATTTCCAAAATTATCAAACTGCACTGTACTGATCAACAGATGTGTGAGGTTGGATTGTATAGAATGAAACTTCATGGAAGAAGTAAGGGATAATTGAATGAAACCATAAGCAAGAATATCCTGTTAGAAACGGTCAATAAAGTTAATATATTGTTTGCATTTATAAATGAAATTAACAAACCGTATGTGCAATTTTACAATAGTATCATTCACTTAAACAAGATGTAATGATTCTAAGCTACAACTTTCAGCCAATTGACTTACTGGGCTAGAACAGCATTTCTGTTATTGTGATATGCTTGGCAAGCTTCTTCTGCAGAAGGATGAACAAAGGAAGAAACACTTCCTATTGATGAAATTTTATGGGACAAAACACATTCATTTCTTTCTGGATCAGCCTTGGCACAACAGTCATTAATTCCATATGTCTTGGAAAACTCTTCATCATGGCAGAGCACATCCAGGAAAACTATACCCTAGAGAAAAATATGTCAGTTAAATAAGCATTATTAAGCAGTAATTTATAAAATTAATATATGACTAATTTACATAATTAATATACAATTAATTTATATAATTAATATAATATCCATATTATATTAAATCTTGTTAAAGCCAGATGATATGAGTTAGAATCCAGATTCATATATGGAAGATCAGATGTTTTCTGCTTGCTTTTCTGTAGACACTTTTCCTCCAAAGAAGACAACAAGAGACAAGAAATGATTTTAAAAAAACTATTAAGCAGTGTATTTCTGCCCACCGCTTATTGCTCCACATAGCTAATCAGATAATGTAGTCCATAGATTAGGATTCATGGATTTAAATGCCAAGGTTTATATGGCTACATACAGAGTTTGTATGTATGCATAGTGTTTGTGTATGTGCATATATATTGTATGTACATTGCATGTACATATATATGTGATATGGTACTTCAGATTGTCAAAGTTACTATTGTAAATTACTTCCTGTTCGGATACATCTTTCATTTTAAACTATTTTGCTAGACTGGTAGTTACTAGAGAACTGGGAGCTAATTTATGGTTCTCTTTTCCAAATAAGAGGAGGGAAGGAGGGAGGGAGGGAGGAGGGAGGGAGGGAGGGAGGGAGGGAGGAAGGAAGGAAGATTTCTAGATCACACAGGAATTATTCCTTCATTACCTTTGTATCTCAAAAATTTCCAAAAATTAGAATCTTTCAAAAAAGATTCTAACAAGCTATATTAAAAACCAGATTAATGGGTTTCATATATTGTGAACATTACTTTTTATCTTTTTAGTGCTGTTTTCTTGAAATAAAGCAGTCTTTCTAAATTTTGAAATTTCCAGATATGTGAATTATTTGAATACTTTGAATTGCCAGCAATGACCATACTATCTGGTGAATTCTGAAAGTTGAACTTCTATAGATCTCAGAGTTTCCAAATTGGGGATCTCAAAGTTAAAGGGTACAACATACTTATCCAGAAGTAAGCAGCTCTGTCTTTACTGAGCAAGTTTGCATAAAATTTCCAGTAAAGAAGTGAAAAGTTATGAACTTCAGATATAATAATTGAGTCCACACATTGTGTTATGTTTGTTTTATTTTGGAATTGCATATTACCTCGCCAGCTGTAATTTGTCTAATAACCCAATTTAATAAAATGTAGCTTAATGCACTGGTGAGCAGTGTTGGGGATATTACAGCAAGACAGGACAGATAGTGAAACTTATTTCAAGGTTTGAAAGACAGAAATGTTAACTATTTTGATTAGGAGATAAATTATTTTCCTAGGATGGATAGAGTTAATTTTACTCCTAAAAGTATGTCAAAAAGACAACAACAACCAGGTAGTTAAACAGAACTTTAAGTATTTACTTAATCAATATGTCTGTAGTATCCAATTTAGCTTCCAAGCACTTACCAAAGGCTTTGTACATTCTGAGCTTGAATATTCATTATCAACACATTTCTGGTGAATAGCTTTAACGTTTGCTGTCAGTTTTTGTACCTCTTCAAGTGTGGCATTTGGTATACTTTGGGCGAATAAGCCTAAAGCACTGGAAAAAAGTACAGATTATTAAAAATACAGTCTGAACTATATTTATTCACTTCTGTTGTAGAGGGTGCAGAAGAGCCCTGGGAAATGCCTGGATTCCAAGTTCTTTTTGTTCTGACCCTGAGAGCTTCAAGATCATGGTACTCTAGCTATATAAAAAATGCTGAATGACAGAGACGATTTTTTTCTTAGGGAAGAAGAATAGCAATTTTATGGTGGTTTTAGACTATTTTTATTGTAAACCTTCACTATATTATAATTCTCAATCTCTGCATATGGTATATCTTTTATTATTTTGTTTTATAATTTATGACACAATTTACTGGCAGACTTACATGGCACCAAAATCGTAAGTGGGTATTTGAGAGGCAAGACTGATGGTCCAATGATGGTCATCTGTAAAGAAAGTAATGAAAAATTTTTACCCACTATTCCAAGAAAGAATTATTATTCTTTGTGTTTTTGGTAAACTACTCTAACTGAGTATGATAATATTTTATTATATGTGAGAACAAATTGATATATTCCAAAATTATTGAAAAGATTGAAGAGAGCTTGTAAACTTCAGGATGTTCATTCTTTCTTTCATTCTTTTTTCTTTTTGCAAATCTGCCCAATAATGTAAATAAAGTCATTATAGAATAGTGTTGTTTTAAAATTTGATTTCGTTTGTAATGAAACAACAGATAATAATGCATGATGGTATCATACCATATACAAGAACAACTTGATGTCTTCTAAACTTATTTAACACATTGCAAAGACTAAGAAGATACTGCAATGCTTAGATGTACTCCAATATTTGTTGCGTATCTTGCAATAATATAAATAAAAAAATTAAAAAATAATTGTTTTAAAATTTGATGTCTCTTGTACTGAAATAAAAGAGATAATACTTATAATGCAGTTCCCAGAAACTACTTGAACACATTTTATATGGTCTTCTTAAACAAAATGATAAAACAATAAAACAAAATGATTTTATCATTTCTGTCTCACAGGTCTTTAGATGTCTCAATGGGACTACCTTCTTTCTAATATTTCTTAATAGTATACTATATTACTACTAACTAGATATGACCCAGGTTAGAATTTAGAAATAAATTAAAGCCAACAAATTCTGCAGAACAAATAACTTCTTAGTGATTTCTTATAAGCATCTACTAAATTTTGCAGGATTATACCTGATTAAAACAGATGTCAGGGTCTGAAATAGAGAATGCTATGATTTAGGGCATGGAAAATGCACATTAAAAATCATTAGTCACATAAATACCATTTTAGATTTATTGTGGGATTTTTTTGCCCTCCAAATATTGCTAATCATGATAAGCATATTCTATTATTTTTAATAGATAACTCTAATCATCAATCAAATGTAATTCACTGGGAAATTATTGGATAAAAAATTATATTGAAAATGCAAAAGATTCATACGGTTTGAAGAGAAACTAGGGTATAGTCTAGAAAATGCTGTCGAAGGAACATACAATCTCCTGGGGATTCAGTTTTTAATCTATGCTTCCAGGATAGTACTATGAATTCAATACCAATCTGAACAATCAAATGAAAATCTGAAAAACTGAGAGTCAGAAACAGAAAACATCATACCAGTATGCCGATATTGTCGACGTAGATTTTTCAGTTCAGCAAAGCTTAGAAAGCAAAGCAAAGAAACAAATATTACCCACTTCATGTTTCCAAATCGTTTGGGGGCTAGACTGAACAAGGTAGGAAGAACACATGGACAGATTGAAATTTTATACTATATCACGCAGAGTAATCACCACCCACCTTATCCTGTACCTATGGAAAGGTCAAAAGAAAGACCCTTGTTAATAATTACTGTAATAAAATATTTGCCCATTTTCTTAGTTAAAGACAAATCTTGCCTGAAGAAATGTCAGCATTTTTTTTTTCCAGAACATGAATAAATAGACTTTTGGCCTATCACATTTCAAAAAAGTAAAGTAAACTGTTTTCTCTCTTTCCCAATCTTAAACCATTGGAAATTTTGTCAAAAGGTGAATCAAAAGGATGTGATTGCACTAGAATTTTTGTGTCAGGTTCAGAGCAAAGGTCCATGATTTTAAATGTCAAGGTTTCACATCTGAGTAAACATTTGAATTTTGCTATTCTGGGCTAGAATCTAATGACTAATAGAATAGCAATGCACATCATCATATGATGTGTGCCTATGTCTATATATATGTGATCTTATTAAACAAAATTTTATGGTTTTCTCTCTCTCTCTTATGTGTATATCTATGTTTGTGCGTGTATTATTGTTATCATTCTAATTTCCAAAGAATCGCTACAGCTGGTAGATCACTGATTGTCAAGTTTTTAATTTAACAAAGTGTAATAATGGACAAATCAAAATAGAGAAAAATGATTTGCTTGCACTGAAAGAGAATAGCTGGCCCAAAATCAGCCAGCTGGTTTTGATACCTAATGGAGGACTAGAACTTGCACTTTCCACTCCTACTCTAGCATTTTAACTAATACACTACTTTGGCTTCATGCATATCAGTTATATGTACTGATAATTGTTCGTACTTTCTTCAAGAAGAAATTTTCAGTTTTGACTCCATCACTGAAATTGCTAATGTTTTATGAATTACATGTGCATGTATTTTGATCTTCATTTTGTATCAAATCAATACTTACATAACATAGCATAGGATTTTACTTAAATGAGAATTGGGAGAGTGTTCTATACAACAGCTAGTTCCTTTCTGGGTGCAATTCAAGATACTGGTCACCATCTTTAAAACCCTATATGGTACAGGGCCACTGTCTCTTGAAAATCCAGATCCCTACTGCATTCCAATATATCTTCTGAGTTTTTTGAGTACATTTCCATACAATTTTGAGTAAAAAAAAAAAAAAAAAGGCGGGGGAGGGACACCTTATTGGGTTCAGAAATTATACTTGGGTTCACATATTGCATTAGGTTTGTTTGATTTTGAATTAGTGTATGATCCTTCCAGATTGTTGTCCCATAACCCAAGTTAATAAAATGTAGCTTAATGCAGGAATGAGCAATTTTTTTGGGGGGGGGGGATATGATTAGCTTGGCTGGCCAGATATTACATCCTAGTTGAAAGTTGGAAGGACAGACATGTTAAGGGTTTTGATTTGCAGGAAAATTGGTTTCTTGGGAATGGAGTTAATGCACTCATTTTTTTTCTTAACAATATGCCAATACATACATACTCCAATTTAGCTTCCAAGAACTTACCAAAGGTTTTGTACATTCTGGGCCTGAATACTCAGTATGACGATATTTCTGGTAAAGTGCTACAGCAGTTTCTTCCAGTTTTTTCACTTCCTCAAATGTGGCATTTGAGCGAGTAAAACTAAGGCACTAGGGGAAAAAACCATAGATGATTAAGCTATTCATAGGTGAATAGCAACATATTCAACATTGGACTTCTTGGGGTTCTCTGAGCTTGATTGTTGCTTACAGATATTTTATTTACCCAACTAGATAACATCATCATAGCACCAAGGATTCTACAATTCAGCCTCAGCTACATTTAGGGATATATTCTATTGGGGATATATTCAAGAAGCAATTGGAAAAGTATAGAAAAGCATACTTTTGGGGGGAGCATACTCCCTTCTGAAGGGGAGAACAATATGGAATATGGTGCTTAGGACTCCCCTCTAAGTCTGCAAAAATTATGGATATATCAAAGATTGCTAAATGATTAAGCAATTATTTTTCTTAGGAAAGAAGAATAGTCATTTTATGGTGGTTTTATACTATTTTTACTGTAAATAATTTCTATACTATAATTCACAATCTCTGTGTATGAATATCTTTTAATAGATTTATAATATCTCTTCAAATAATCAGAAAAGATAAAGATAAAGGTCCAGTTGTGTCTGATTCTAGAGGGTAGTGTTCATCTTGGGAAATCACACTCTGTACTTGATTTTTGTCTCTGATCAGTGGCTGAATGATCTAAGAATAGGGGATATAGACATCAAGCCCTTGTCATGGTCTGATCATTGTCTCCTTCACATGGACTTTCAAGTCACTTCCACCCACCGCAGGCAGATGGAACCAACCAAATGGTTCCATCCCAGGCGCCTGATGGACCCCGAAAGGTTCCTGATGGAGCTTGGGCCATTTCCTGAGACTCTGGCTCACGACTCGACTGAGGACCTGGTGGTCGCCTGGGACAGGGTGGCTACTGGGGCCTTGGACCGCGTCGTGCCTTTGCGGCCTCTGACCCAATGCCAATCTCGTCTAGTTCCTTGGTTTTCTGAGGAGCTGAGAGAGATGAAGCATCAGAAAAGATGCCTGGAGAGCGATTGGAGGACAAGCCGATCTGAATCTGACCGAACACAGGTAAGATCTTTTATTAAGACCTACCTAGTGGCATCTGCAGAGAACCGCCCAGCCTCGCTGTTTAGGGTGACCCGCTCCCTACTTCAGGTGGGGGTACGGGAAGATCCCTTACAGGGTCGAGCTGAGGATTTTGTACAATTTCTGCATGATAAAGTCACTCAGATTTGGGAAGGCCTGGACTCCTATTGGGTAGATCCAGGGGAGGAGATGGGGGCAGGTCTTGAGAGTCTTATCTGGGAAGAGTTTGACTCTGTGGCTCCTGAGGACGTGGACAGGATTCTGGGCAAGCTTAACGCTGCCACATGTTTATTGGACCCGTGTCCCTCCTGGTTGGTACTGGCCTCCCGAGGCTGGCTCCAGCGGATTATAAATGCTTCTCTGAGTGAGGGTGTCTTTCCCGCCACCTTGAAAGAGGCGGTTGTGAAGCCCCTCCTCAAGAAGCCTTCCCTGGATCCGGCTATATTATCAAATTATCGTCCAGTCTCCAATCTTCGCTTTGTTGCAAAGGTTGTTGAGAGTGTAGTGGCGCAACAACTACCCTGATACCTGGATGAAGTTGTCTATTTGGATCCATTCCAGTCGGGCTTCAGGTCAGATATAGCATGGAAACGGCATTGGTCGCATTGGTGGATGATCTCTGGAGGGCTCTGGACAGAGGTTGCTCCTCTATCCTGGTCCTATTAGATCTCACAGCGGCTTTTGATACCATCGACATGGTATCTTACTGCACTGGCTAGAGGGGTTAGGAATAAGGGGCACCGTGCTTCAGTGGTTCTCCTCCTTCCTCTCTGACCATTCAGTTTGTGTTGGCAGGGGAGCAGAGGTCGACCTCAAGGCACCTTATTTGTGGGGTGCTGCAAGGGTCAGTCCTCTCACCCCTTCTGTTCAACATTTATGTAAAACCGCTAGGTGAGATCATCCGTAGTTTCGGGTGAGTGTTCATCAGTATGCTGATGACACACAGCTATACATCTCCACCCCAGACCACCCCAATGATGCCCTTGCTGTGATGTCCCGTTGCCTGCAGGCCATGCGGATCTGGAGGGGGAGAAACAAGCTCAGACTCAACCCCTCCAAGACCGAGTGGCTGTGGCTTCTGGCGTCCCGGTATAGTCAGCTGGTACCATCACTGACAATTGGGGATGAGATCTTGCTCCCCACAGAGAGGCCCTGCAACTTGGGTGTCCTCCTGGATTCACGGCTATCTTTAGAAGATCATTTGATGGCCATGGCCAGAGGTGCCTCTTATCAGGTTCGGCTGATCCGCCAGTTGCATCCCTTTCTGGATCGGGACACCTTGCACACGGTCACTCATGCCCTAGTTACCTCCCTTATGGACTACTGTAATGCTCTCTACATGGGGCTCCACTTGAAAAGCACCCGGGGGCTCCACTGGTCCAAGCCGTATGGGTGATTATGGGCGCAGCTCGTTGTGCCCATGTAACACCTCTCCTTCACAAGCTGCACAGGCTCCCGGTGGTCTTCCGGGTGCGATTCAAGGTGTTAGTTATCAGCTTTAAAGCACTCCATGGCTTAGGACCTGGGTACCTACAACACCGTTCTTTGCCACCAATAGCCTCCCACCAACCAGTTCGTTCTCACAGGGAGGGACTACTTAGGGTACCGTCAGTCAAATTATGCCGATTGATGACTCCCAGGGGGAGGGCCTTCTCTGTAAGGGCTCCAACCCTTTGGAATGAACTGCCCCCGAGATACGAAATATCCCTGATCTCCGTGCTTTCCGCCGTGCCTTCAAAACCCTGATGTTCCAACAAGCGGGGCTAAACATATGAACATGTGAATGTTTTTAAAATGTTATCTAATTTTAGGTTCTATTTAATTGGGCCAAACTATGTTATAATAATAATTTTAATTAGCAATTTTATGATGTTTGTGTATCTATATTTTTCTTGACTGTACACCGCCTCGAGTCCTATGGGAAAAAGGCGGTATAGAATAATAAATAAATAAATAAATAAATAAATAAATAAATAAATAAATAAATAAATAAATAAATCTCTGTTTCTTAGCTGAAGGAGCCACAATTGCCGAAAGATGCTTCCATGATCACGTGGCCAGCATGACTATATGCCAAAGCACACAGAACACTGTTACTTTCCCATCAAAGTGATACCTATTTATCTACCCCCATTTGCATGCTTTCAAACTGCTAGGTAGGCAGCACTGGAAGTGCTTGGAATTATTTGCTTGAGATATAAGTTTTTCTTATGTTGTTTTGACCTTTAGAAGTTCAAGTTCAAATTTCAAATTTGAAAGTTCAAGTCATGATTTTCCAGCATTAAAAAAGTGACTATATCAAGAGATAAATTATCTTTTCTGAAAAGGAAATAAGAATCTAATGCTTTCTCAGTCTGTT